TCTTCTTGAGAGCTTCTGATCAATAATTGTTACCTTGCAAGCAAGATAAACTGAATTAGCAAACTTTGTTAAATTAGATCTTCCAGGAGCCTGCAGATACAGTACTGTACGTTTGGCTTCAATAGAGAAATTTTTCAGACCAATGAAATGCAGGGACGGGTTTGACCTCCATGCGTCAATCAGAGGCGGAAGGCAGAAGCAAAACAAACATCGCTGCACCGGTGTCAACTTAAAAAAGCCTCTATTTCTATTTGAAAAAACAGTAACAGTGGGTAGCACTGCTGCCTTGCAGTGAGAAGGTTGTGGCATCGATTCCCGGCCTGAGGTCTATCTGCATGGAGTTTGCCTGAGCGTGCATGGGTACTCCGGCTTCCTCCCACAAAACATGACTAGGTGTGAGTGTTGTTTGTCCTGTTCGTCTCTGTGTTGTCCTGTGATGGACTGGACACCTGTGCAGGGTGGACCCTGCCTCTTGCCCATGGACAGTCGGAGATAGGCACCAGAACCCCTCACGACCCCCATTTGGGATAAAGCATGTCAGAAAATGGATGGATGGAGTAAAATTAAGTTTTTTTTGTGGATGGGAAGATTTTTTTGCATTCCTCCTGACTAGATTTGTTAAGATATGAAACAAATCAATCTACTATTGCTGCTTCTAATTGGCTAAAATGCTGACATGGGAGCCAGGTAGGGTTGGGAATTGATAAGATTCACTAATCGATTCTGTGAAACGATTCGATTACTTACCGATTCTCTAATCGATACTGTTTAATAAAAAAAGCATTACTGTACAAAAAACTCATCTCCCCCTGATTGAAATAAACAAGCGTTACCTTTCTTTGGCTCCCTGAACTACGGAGCAACTTCGTAGCATGTTTTTGTTGCATCCATTCAATAGCTAGAATCATGTAAGAATTCCAGCTACCAGTAGTTCTTATTAAACAGGTGATCCATGAAGGAATGGACCAACGAGAAAGACACACTCCCTTAATAACCCTAAAGAGAGGTAGGAAATGGGTTTATTTCCAGAAATGGCATCTGATTTACTAGGAACCACATTAAGCGCAGCCAGTGATAGAAAACTAGCTTTCCATGTTGGTTGTAACTTTAGCTTCTGTCCAGAAGCATCAAAAACAAGGCACTCTTTAAAATGTATACCATGTTGTGTGCGCAGGTGTTTCTGCATGGATGTGTTGCCTCCCGCGGATGTAATTGCCACTTTGAAATGATTGCAAAGCGCCTTGTTGCCATCTTTCTCTTCCTTAAAATGAAGCCAAACTTTCGATCGGTTTACCCCGATGGGACGCCATTTTTTTGTTTTGCTTTTCTAGACTTATGCCTGGTCATGTTTTATTTGCTTACTGAATGTCCTGTGCGTAATTTGCTGCCCAGAGCGGCTCTGGTGCTGCCTGGAACCGTAAAGAGAATCGTTAAGCGAGCTGCCAAACGGTGCCATGGAATTGGAACGCACAGAACTGGTTCTGAACAGGAACCGGTATTTGATTCCCATCCCTAGAGGCAGGTAACCAATCGGCTCAAAGAAGCTAATTTAGAATAAAAGCTCAATGATCAAAAAACCTCAAGCGTTCATTATTGGGTCCAGGAGCCAATCAGCCTCTTGGATTTGTTTTGTTTC